TGGAGAGTAGGGAGAGAAGGGAGAGGTTTATTTGTAGAGAGATAGAGAGATTTCTAGAGAGAGAGAGGGAAGAGAGGAATGAGCGACGAAGGAGGAAATCTCGCGTCCCTTATATAGATTTTGTGATCGTCGTAAAATCGTCGTAACATTACGACGGTTTTACGACGATTCGGTTGTATAACAGTCGGTCCACTGCATGACATGACACGTGTCGTGATGGGAGCATTTGACCGTTACGACGGTTTTACGACGATTAAACCCCAAACCGTCGTAAAATCGTCGTAACGTCTAAATGGGATATTGCATAAAGAACAATGCAAAGGTTATTGTATCCTAACATATAACAAAAGGTTTACAACTTTGCATGTATGATGGATTTATGACATGAGATAGTAAAAATTGATATTCCGTAATCTAATATATAACCTCTCACTTAACATTTACGAAAACATGCATGAACTTGTACATATGTATTTTTTTTTTTCAAATTTTTGATTTTGATCAGATTGATAGCATTTCATATAAAATAAGATAACCAATCAAAAACATTTGTGAAATACCTTACAACCAATAAGATATAAAAGATTCAAATTCTTAGATTTCAACATTACGCGATATTACGACGAAATAGTGTACTCGTCGTAAAACAGTCGTAACTTTACGACGATATTACGATTGTTCGTCGTAAAGACGTTGTAATGTTGAAACCCTATTCATTCAGGGCTTAAAACCTAGACTTAGGGTTTAGGGTTTAGAAAAACCGTCGTAAAATCGAATTTTAGGGTTTTTAAAAAATTCAAACAAACAAAGTTACAAATTACATAATAACAAACATTCACTAAATACAATGCATGAAACTCAATCAGATTCATCTTCCTCTATTACTTCATCACCATCACCGTCGTCTTCTTCCGCCAAATCGTCATCATCGGTTTCAGCAAACTCATCATCACCTTCTTCTTCTGTATCATCGGGAAGATCTTCAACTTGCCTGTTCCGAGGGTCTATTAAGAAAATCTCATCATCAACATCTGGTTCAGACAGATCTACGCAAGTGTCCTGTTGAAGTGGAACATCCTCAACCCCTACAATCTTGCCCCTCGGAGCCACTTTAACTACTGCTAACCATGAAATTCCTGTTGATCGAACTCGAGGGTATGGCAGAAACGTTACCTGTTCTGCTTGAGAAGCTAATATAAATGGCTCAAACCTGTTGTACCGTCGTGATTTGTTCACGTCAACAACTCCAAACTTGTTTAGACGTACCCCTCGTCCAACAGTTGGATCAAACCAATCACATTTGAAGAGAACAGTTTTCAGCCTTAACAATCCAGGATACTCTACTTCAATTATTTCTTGCACAACTCCATAAAAATCGATTTCACCCCTCACACAAACTCCATAGTTAGTTGTCGCCCGCTTTGCACCGTGACGGTATGTGTGAAAAACATAGCCCCGAGTGAAATACATTGAGGCTGTAGTTATTTTGGCCATCGGACCTAGTAGTAACTCATGGAACCATGTTGGAAATTCATCCGGATCATTCGGGTGCACCTAATAAGAAAAAAATTCCGCTTTTATTTCTTGATTTCGATATATATATAGCAAATTAAAGTAGTCTTTTAATTTAACGTCAGAAGAAACTCATCTGAACAATGCTGACTTTTGATCTGCACTCAACCGAAATACAGGAACTGGTGCTTTCCCGTTTCTCAGTAGATGCAACTCACTTCTGTTGCATAAATCAGGCAAGTCCAATCTTGACTTACCATTGTCTTTTGTTCTTCCCGCTACGTTCATAATTGTATGCATGATGTTATCAAAAAAGTTTTTTTCAATGTGCATGACATCAAGATTGTGTCTGAGCAGATGATCTTTCCAATAAGGTAGTTGCCAAAATATATTTTTCTTGTGCCAATTATGATGAACTCCATAACCTTCAGGCATATTTGCAGGAGTGTGCCAGTTTCCCCCACGAGTTACTGTTTCTTCTGCCCTCCAATGATCGATTTGCGCCTGTATATCAGCTCCTGTTAAATTAACGGGTGGAGGGACATGTACACTTTTGTTCTTCATAAATAACCTTTTGTTCCTCCGATATGGATGGTTATCCGGTAAAAACCTCCGGTGACAATCAAACCAACCAGTTTTTCTACCATGTTTTAGCTGAAACGCATCAGTTCGATGAAGACAATAAGGACAAGATAGCCTCCCATGTGTAGTCAATCCTGATAGCATACCATAAGCGGGAAAATCGCTTATTGTCCACATTAGCACAGCCCGCATAGTAAAATTTTTCCTCGTAGAACAGTCATATGTACGAACGCCAGTATACCATAACTGATTCAACTCATGTATGAGTGGCTGAAGAAATACATCGAGAGCTCGCTTCGGATGATTTAGACCTGGAACCAAAATACTTAGGAAAAGAAATTCCCTTTGCATGCACAAATCTGGAGGAAGGTTATAAGGAGTTAGAATACTGGCCATAATGAATATTGTCTACCAGACATACCAAATGGACTAAAACCATCAGTGCACAGACCAAGATAGACATTCCGTTTGAACTTAGCAAAATCTGGGTATACCATATTGAAGTGTTTCCATGCCTTTGCATCTGATGGATGAACAACTTCTCCATCTACTTGTGTATGTTCCGCATGCCATCTCATTGATGCAGCTGTCCTTTCAGATTGATAAAGCCGTTTTAACCTATCAGTTATAGGGAGATACCACATACGTTGGTACGGTATCCTTTTACGCCCACCAGTTTGCGGCCTGTATCTTGGTTTTTGGCAAAATCGACATTCCTCCAGCTGATCATCATCTTTCCAAAAAATCATACAATTGTCAACACATACATCTATCATCTCAGAAGGTAGACAAAGACTAAAAATCAACTTCTGAATTTCATAGTATGTTCCCGCTGCCAAGTTATCCTCCGGTAGATACTCCTTCAGAAGATCAGCCCAATCATCCATGCAAACCTTAGCCAGGTTATGATCTGTTTTAATTGACATCATCCTAGCTGCCAACGATAATTTAGACAAGCCTTCTCTACATCCTTCGTAGATTGGCTGATTAGCATTGTCTAACAAATCATAAAATCGTTTGGCATCTACATTAGGTTCCTCAACAGCATTACCCGTATGCGTTTCATGAAATGCATCAGTCACCATTTCGTGCATCCTATCATGATCTACACTTTGGTCATATTGATACTGATTAGGCTAATGACCATAATTCGATTCATCAATATCAACATGACTTGATAATTACTACTACTACTACCAGCATTCCCAGTATTACTGTCATATCCTTCTCCATGTAGATACCAAACAAAATATTGCGGCATAAACCCTCTATTTAATAAATGCGTCCACACGGTTTTGGTTAGTGTATACCTCGTATTCTTGCATTTCAAACAAGGACAAAACATCTTCCCACTATCTTTCGTTCTCTCCATATTTGTAGCCTGATACATAAATATTTCTAACCCGTTCTTGAACTCTTCTGTCAACGCCCCATCAGAATCTTTATGCATATACATCCAACTTCTTAGCTCGTATATATATAGACATCTTGAAAATAAACTCACAATACTATCTCTTTTTATTGATTAGACAATAAAGGAGGTGGTCTCTTGTGTCACGTCTAGCCACGTGAATGGAGTAAAGTAACCTTATAATATTATTACTTCTTTTTTTCAAAGTAATATAACTCTTAATTCGGGTTTCCGGCAATGGACAACCCAATATATAAGGATTTACAACACTATACTAAAATTTAAGAGACCTACAATGGGTCTCCAAGATGAAGATGCTCTTATGTTTGAATGATGATGTGTTGTGATTGAATGAAGGAATGAAGATCTATTTATAGGAAAATTTCGGGCTTTACAACGCTTTTACGACGACTTTTTACGACGGTTTTACATTCAACAATAATATTACGACGAGTTTACGACGATTTTGCGATAAAATTTTTCATCTACAATTGTTAGGTACACATGTTTTAAATGTTTTTCACCTAACTTCTTTTTCGACGTAAAATCGTCGTAATATGTACATCGAAATGAAGTCGTCGTATATTCATCGTAATTTTGCGACGATTTACGACGATTTTACATTTACTAGCAAATCTCTCGTTATCGATGTATAATCGTCGTAATTCGTCGTAAATTGTACGTCGAGTTTACGACGATTTTTTTATACGACGATTTTACGACGGTTTTTAAAGTAGACGTAAGATCGTCGTAAAATCGTTGTAAGTTTGCGACGATTTGAAAACCGTCGTAATGAACCGTTGGAAAACGATTGTTTTCTTGTAGTGAATTGTTAATGGATTACAAAGGTTATGGTCAAAAAAGTGTTCCCTAGATTATGTACGTAGGTTCTCACGTAATCAACAATTCATTGATGCTTTTACACCAAGAAAGCTAGGTTTCAAACCCCAGAGATTGTGATTTATTATCATTTATTCAGATTAATAGAGATAAACTTGCTGAAGATCTTCAACATGGTACAAGTGAAACTGTTTAATGTGTGGATACTCATAAGATGATAGAATTGTTTGTTGTAGAATTGTCGATATAACAGTTTTCATAATTTTTTTTAATATAGAATAAAAGTTCAGTGTTAAAAAGGTTATACAAGTTTCCACGTTTTCAAATGTTTTTTCTATTCTTAGTTTCTCTTTTTGTTTGAGAATAAGCAAAAATTAAGTCGGATGAGGGAGTTGATGTACTTTGTTTTTACATGGTTTTCATACGATTTTATGGATTTATCAAAGTAATTTCTAATGGTATTATGGCCGAAAGGATATTTTTAAAATATTTTTAGAGTTTTAAGTTTAAATTAGGTTAAGTACGAATTATGCAAAAGCAACCAAGTTGTGCCTAATTTTGTTATGTAGAAACAATGCATATGCATCAGAAGTTTAGTATGATTTGGATGACTATCCATGAAGATTTTTTTTTTTTCGAGTGAAACTTAATATTATTAAACCTGAATATTCGAAATTACATAGTCCTTATGGAGAGCATGAGACAACCATAAAGGTGGAAATTTATAGTCAGAGTAGAAAAAAGAGTTTGGAGGGGCATTCTTTGCCAAACAGTGAGCCACTTCATTACAGTGCCTTTTAACGTTCTTGAACTGGACTCTGTGGAACTTGGCTCCCCATCTCTCAATTTCTCTTTTGCACAGGTTGTGAATTGTGTAGTCCTTCTCCTCATTGTTGAGGTTCTTAGCAAGGTTCTGGCAGTCTCCTTCAAAGATTACAGATCTAAAGCTCATCATATATGTGTTTTGAATAGCTACAAGCAGAGCTTTCCCCTCAGCTTCAATTGGAGAAGACGAAATACCCAAATTGGCTGATCCCCAATACTTTGCAGCCCCCTTATCATCTCTGATAACCCAACCAGCTGTAGTGTTACGAGTAGCAGGATCATAAGCCGCATCAACATTACATTTTAGAAAACCCGGAGGTGGATGCATCCAACAAGATTGAGACCTTTGAGAGACACCTGCATTTAAGTTAGAAGTAGTTGTCAAGCTTGCCTGATTAGACACCTCTAACCATTCCTTAACTCCAGCATTTGAAAGTGAGACGTCCTTAGAAGGGCTGGGAATCCGTTTGTTAAAAATAAGGTTGTTTCTAGACTTCAAAATTCTCCACAACACCCAGAAGGGCAGAAGTTTCTGGTGATCTGAAATTCCTTGACACCCTTGAGAATTAAGCAAAGTTTTGATATTATCCTCACACTCTTGAAATAATTGAGAAAGACATGAGAAAGGTAAGTTTGTCAGTCTCCAAACCATATGAGAAACAGGACTATCCATGAAGATAATGAGCTCAAATTTGGAGAAAAGATAGCAAGGATGTTAGCTTTCATATGAAAATGGATTCAAGTCATTTAGACAAGCAATCTAGATGATATGGCGATTTTGGTGAAGAGTGGTCATAATCAGCCATATGTATCGACCTTTTGAGATTTTATTAAAGTGGTTGATATTTCACTTTGCAGACATGAAGATTGAAGACCCAGATTATATGTATCGATCAATGGGCCTTGCCTAAAAATAATCGATACACAGACCTGTTTTCCGGCAATTTTCAGTTTTCCACACAACAGTATTTCACAGTTTCGACCCCTGGAGTTAGTTTTCATTGTGGAGCTAGTTTTCATTGTGGAGATTCTATGGAACAGAAATCAACCTCTATAAAATCACGAAAGACTATTTCTAAAACCCTTTTACTTTATATAATGAATTCTCATCTCTTTTCTTGATTTTTATGATTATGTCTGACTAGTCATCTTGTTAGGTTGTAAGTCTTCAAAATCTTCATGATTTGCTTAAAATTTATCTAGTTATTATATGGTTCTTCACCTTTACTTTACATCAGATCTAAGGTTTAATTACCCTCCAAAAGCTTGTTAATAACATGAACTAGTATCTGGTGACCAAAGCAACATAAGCTGCGAGAATCATATATATTAAAAGCGGGTTCAGAATAAGCAATGGAGGCCTCTCATTGAGTTTCAGCGTGGTTAATTACCGCTTGCCCCTTAATAAGAATAATTAATTTTGAAAATATTAACCAAAATTTTTTAAACAAACTCGAGCAAATCAATATCATGAGCCCATACAAATATTCTCGGCCCATATTTTACATGACCTAAACGAAATACTATCGAGCTAAACCCTAATCTTAAACACCTATAAAAATAAGTCTCATACGTTCATTCTTCCATATCGTTTTAGAAAAACCCTAGGTTAAACTTTCTCATATGCAATATTTTCTTTGATTTGTTTGTGTTCTGCGGCGTTTTGATTTGCGTTTATATATTGCTTGCTTTTTTCTTTGGATTAATTTTGATGTTGTTGTTGCTTTCTATTGTAGGCTGATCTTTTGAGGACGATACTGAATCTGTGAGCGCATGCTGATCTTTTGAGAAGGATATTGAAGTGCGATTTGATTCTTCCTCTTCAATTATCTCGTGTAAGTTCTGTTAGCCACATGTTTTATATTATTTCGTTTAGCTTTTTGAATTCAAATTTATTTATAAAACCTAACCCTAGGTAGGAATCATACATGTACCAAATTTTATTGATTTTGTTTGAAATCTACTCCGTTATGATACTTACTTATTTTTATGTTTGCTTTTTGTTTTTCTTTTGGTGTTGTTGGTTTTATATTGTAGGTTGATCCGTTTGAGAGGATATTGAAGTTGTGTACCCAATCACACATTCTTCCTTTTCATTCATCGTATCGGTTTCGTGTATGTGTATTTATACGATCTTTTTATGTTGTTTCGTATAACCCTTATTGGTTTACAGTCGCTAGCTTAAAACTAAAACTATGTTGCTTTTTCGTATTTTAGGACGGCCTGCTGATACAGATTCTGAACTCTTGTAGGTATCCTTACTTATCTCTTAACCTAATCGTTTCTATTATGATCTTTTTAGCTATAATTTAAAAGTTTTTTCTTTATATGTACTTATTTTATTGTTTCTTGTATTTCTCTGTTGGTTGATTCTTATAATAAAATTTTTGTATGTAATTTTTTTTTGATTTGCCATATTGTACTTGCTAATCTCGTGACGCCGTGCTTTTCAGGATACTCTTAGTCAGTGTTTCATCATATATTCGTGTTGGAATATGTCTTCGACTGGTATTTGTTATTTATCAGCACCTATCTTAAGCTTTCGTAATTTAATTGGTTAAAAACGTTTGATCGTTTATATTTGATATGTATATTATTAACATTGATTAGGGGTTCCATTCCTACCTGTGCACCTCCCTCCACCATCGCAATCGTTCTCAGGTGATGAGGAAACGTCTGGTCTGGGCAAGAAGAGTAAACTGGAAGCTTGGATGGAATGTAATCATCTTCATCCTGAAGCAAGGGAATTGACGTATCCTCAATTCCCTTTGGAGTGGGTTTGGGATCGTAAACAATCAAAATGGAGGCGCCGTTTATCTCAAACTTTGCAAGTCTTTCTCCTGCAGTGTTGTCCATTGTCATCTGGTGAACTTTATTACCTGAGACTTTCGTTGAAGGTGAAAAGAGGAGCGTTTTGTTTTTCTGATCTTAGGACCGTCAACGGTGTTCAATATTCAACATTCAAAGATGCTTGCTACGCTATAGGATTGGTATCCGAAGACGATGATGAGTTTATTGCTGGATTTTATGAAGCGAGTAAATGGTCCTCTTCGCATGCTTTGCGTGTGTTGTTTAGGATTCTTCTCAGGGCAAAGACATTAGCGAATCCTGCGCATGTTTGGAACTGCATCAAGCACTTGATCTTTCCCTCTGCCGATTCTTGAATATCCATTATATGATCTGTTTCTGATAATGTTTTAGATACCTTTTTAATATATTCAACATAACCTTCTATTTGGTGTTATGGATTGGTTAGTTGTTTATATGTTTTGATTTGCCTTTCTTGTTATTCGTCAAAACCTTATATTCGCTATTATTTATGGATTTATAAATCAATTATAAATCTCGATTTTATTCACGATTTGTAATGATTGTTTTAAAATTTTCTTATGAATGTTCTTCTCTGTTTTGGCTATATAATATGAATTAGATTATTATCATATTTTGTGACTTTTATAGATGTGTTTTTGTGTATTATCGTATATTTTTAATGTAATGCGGATCCCGTGCTCATCATATTTGTTCTATATATTCATGAATTGGTCTACATATTCACACCATTATCTAAACGAGTATTGTTCACAATTATTTTTCAAAAGATAAAAACGACTTGTCTCATCCACATAGCAATAGAACTGCAAAGATGCTTTGTGTGCTTACAATTTAAACATTTTTTAAAAGAAACAGACGATATGATATTATTTGATTAATTTTAATTGATTGTATGTTCTACTTATTCTACTATCTAACTGTTGCTTTGTAAATAAAGTAATTGATATTTTTAATACAAGTTATATTCTAGATGATCCTTGTAAGCAATGGACTGTTCTCATTGTTTTTAGGTAATTAGATAGATCAATCCGGAAATAATTTTAAAAAATATTTTAGATATATAAAAAATGGAAATTCCACCTAAATAGGAATAAATTTATTCAGCCTAACCGAAACCCTAGCAGTGGAAACCCTATTATTGAAAAACTATATAAATATGTCCCCTATATTCATTCTTTTATATTGCTTGAGAAAAAAAAAAGGTTAAACTTTCGAATATGCAATTCCTTCATTCTTTGCGTCGTTTTCATTCTCTATTGTTTTTGTGTGTTTTTATGTTGTTGTTGTTTTTATATTGTAGTCTTTTGACTCTGTTCTTTTGAAGAGGATACTAGAGTTGTAAACGCATTCTTCCTTATATCCAGCTTATAAGTTTTGTGTAATTATTTTTAAACGCATTCTATACGTTGTTTATTAACCCTGTTTGATTTACTGTCGTTTGGTTTATACTAAATCCATGTTAAGTTAAGAAGATCATCATCGTGTCATTATCTTGCTTTGTATCATAATTCTTTGACTTTGGGGTTTCAATATTTTATTATATTCGTATTTCTTTGACTGTTAGTTGTCTCTTTTAGAGTGCTTTCGTATTATGTACTTTAGTATTATATGCTTTAGTTTTGTTTATTTTAGTACTATATATATGTAGTTTTGTTTCTCATATTGTTTGCATACATATTTTTCTAAATATTTTCAGGGCTCTCTTTTTCAGTGTTACGTTATATACACTTACTGGAATATGTCTCTAAGAGGTAATGTGTTTTGATTATTATTCATTATAATGATGTGTTTTGATATCACCAAAACCACATAGCAATAACTTAGCATAAGTTTATGTGTTTTGATTATTATCCAAAATATTGAAATATTTATGCTTAAACTCTATAGGTGTTGGATTCCTACCTGTTCACCTTCCATCTCTGCCGTGTGTATCATCGGAAGATGATGGAACGTCTAGCTCTAACAAAAAGAGCAAATTGGAAGCTTGGATGGAATGTAATCGTCTTCATCCTGAAGCACGGGAGTTGACGTATCCACCATTTGCTTCAGAGTGGGCTTGGGATATTGAGCGAACATGTTGGAGACGGTGTTTATCTCGAATTTCACGAGTGTTTCTGTTGCAGAGTTGTCCCTTAACATCTGGTGAACTTTACTATTTAAGACTTTTGTTGAAGGTGAGGAGAGGAGCATGTTGTTTTGAGGATCTAAGGACTGTGAACAATGTTCGATATTCAACATTTAAAGGTGCTTGCTATGCTATAGGAATTGTTTCCAAAGATGATGATCAGTTTATTGCTGATTTTCATGCAGCGAGTGAGTGGACCTCTTCCCATGTTTTGCGTGATTTGTATAGGTTTCTTCTCAGTGAAAAGGCCTTTGTGAATCCTGTGCATGTTTGGAACTGCACCAAGCACTTGATTTTTCCATATGCCAATTCTTGAGTATCTATTATATGTTATAATGATAATTATGTTTTAGTTATCTTTTAGGATATTCATTCATTAAACTTTTAATTCGGCATTATGGTTTTATTAGTTATGTATGTTTCTAGATTTTTCTTCTTAATTTGTAATGCTTCCTTTAGTTCAACTATCTATTCTATGGAATCGATTAAAAATGTTTTATGGACGTGATATCATAGTGTTCTATTTCTGTCTTACCTAGACCTTGAACGATTATTCTTTTACCAAAGCCAACTTAATCTAAACCTTTTAGCGCATGGGTACAGCCCAAAGTTATGGGCCAATGTATATAACTTAATGATTATAATATTTTCATATTTATTATGATATCTTTATTTGTTATATTATTTTCGTTATTTCCTAAGTTTGCTAATACACGACGATTTCAGTCTAAAAAAGGCAACAAACAGATTTGTCTATCTCGCAATTACTGGCATCTTGTGCTCAAGGTATGCGATTTTTTCTCCTCGGATTGTAAAATTGTTGATTTGTTTGCCTGTGTTGTAGAAAATTACCTTTTATTTCTATTTTAATTTATATTTTATATGACTGTGACAATATTTTTAGGGTTTCCTCCCGATTATGATATACAGAATATCTCTACTCTAAGTTTTTTTGTTGTTTTTGATATTCAAATGTATATACTGAAATCGATACTCACAATTGTAAAGAGATAAAATATACGGGGATTCTAAAACATGAAATCGTGATTCTGAGGTTGGTGTTGTTTTCGTAGTGATTATCGAGCGAATTTAATATTATGTCTTAATGTCTAACATTGGTATATTTATATATCTTGATCTTGATTTTTAGATAAGTTATTTCGAAGTATATAATTCTCATAGTTTGATTACAGGTAATGGATTCGTACAATCTCATTTCTGATCTACATGATGATAAAACCAATTGGCGTATTAGAGTTAAGGTTTTAAAAAAATGGATTGAGAAGTCTGGAACGGGAGTAGATTCCTTGCAATTTCTGTTGATGGATGAAGAGGTTGGTATTTCATACTTTAAAACTATAACATACTTTACATATATTTCCGTTTTATATATAATATTTTCTACCGCTTTAACCATTTTCTATACAAAGGGTGAACGAATTCAAGCCTATGTGTATAATGAAGATCTATGTAAACATTATGAGAAGGCAATTGAAGAAGGAGACCACAAAAGATTTCAGAATTTATCGTTTTCGATGATCCACTCGAAGAACCAAACACTCTAATTGGCATTTGTATTAAGATATGTATGAACACCGTTATCGTCGATACAAATCCAATTCCAGAAGATGATTCGGTAGGGTCATACACTTTTGCTGACATACTTGGCCAGAAAACAGAACCCGGACAACCCATTGGTATATTTTATTTTTCATTACGTTTTTATTATTTATGTCTTATATATTTCACTTTTGTACACTAATACATTGTTCTTATTTTAAAAAATTTAAGACATTTTGGGAGTTTTATTTCTATTGGCGAGCTGATAACTGTAAAAGACGATAACAAGTACATCAAGCGGACAGGAAAAAAAACAGCAAGTCTCACCTTTACAATTAAAGATCACAAGTAAGTTTTTTTTTTTTTAATAACCTGAATGTAGAAATATGCAAAAATAACAATGCTTTGTTTTTGTTGCATAGTAGTTTGCTCTTGGATTGTACCGCGTTAGGTCGGATTGCTATCGAATTCAATGACGAGTTCTGGACTGATGAACAATTACCACTGACATGTTTTCTATCGGACTGGTCTGTTAAAAATGAAAAAGGTTTGCTTTTATTCTAACATAATGTTTAAGAGTTATTAATAATCGTAACTAGATTTTGCATCCACGCTACGCGTAGATATTTGGTTGATAAAAATTATATGCAATCAATTATATTTATTAAGATATAAATTTTATATGTTAGTATTTTAATAATCTATTAATAATATTCTGGTGTTAATCTAATAATTTTTATGTAAATAGTGAGGTTTTAATGGGTTTTTTTTTTCTTTCTTAAATCTATATACAATATGTCATATTTCAAAAACATATTATTTGGTCAAAAACTTATAAGTTAATATAACCAAACCAACTAATTTTTTTTTTATAAATCAATCAAATGTTACTTTTTAAACATAGTATTGACATGATGATAACATGTTATACATTCACTTTTTTAAATCAAGAAGATAATTGTTTTTATCATTTTCACTTTTATTCCAATTATATATGTGTTCTTTAAAAACAATAAAAAACAATAAAAATTAATATTTCATCTTTTTTCTTCATGTTCATTTTTATTCTTGTTATATCTTTTTTTATCATATTTATTTATTTAAATAATTTCTGTATGATTATATTCAGTTTCATCATATTCATTCTCACTTTTTTTTTTAATTATAATTAAGTAGGCAAAACAGATACAATTTAATACATACAAATTTATAACAATGAAATAACAAATTGAGCAACTCAAAACTAAGATCTTCTACATTAATCTATTGCAATTCCAAGTCGAATATACAAAATGTAATTTTTTGATCATTTTCCCATAATATATTACATGAGATTATTTGGAAATATGTTTTGCATATGTGAAAAAAAATTAGATGAATATAAATAATAATTATTAGTTATTTAAAATTTTACGTGAAAATTCTTAAAATCAAATATCTTAAACTTGTATAAGTAGCATATATTTTTTGATAGATAATAAATTAAATTTGTAATTTAAACAGTGATAATGGAGATTTTAATATCATGTTGTTTTTTTGTTATTTCTAGAGATTTAACTTATTTTTAGTTTATTTTCTTAACCATAATATTAGAATTAGAAAACTTTTTATAATTTAAAATTTTGATATATACGAATAAAATTAAAATTTTAAATGCTGATGTGGATACTTTGAAATAATATAGCTTTAACTGTTATTAATAATAGAATAATTTTAATTAACAGTTTTTCCTATATTTTTGTATTAACAATATAATTTTATTATTTAGATTTTTTTTTAATTTTAGTTATTGATGTGGACTAATAAAATTGATCTTTTAAATCTTTTGATAATGTCTTTAGAGGCATATAGCTTTAATTTTTTTCTATAAATATATTTTTTTGTTAACACTATAATTTTAAAATTTGAAAATTGTCTTAATTTTAAATATTGATGTGGACCAATAAATTAAATTTTAAATCATATGTGGACATTCTTAGAGACATATAGTTTTAACTTTTATCAATAATAGATTTAGAAATCAAAGCTGGAAGATCCCACACGAGGCCCGTTGCTGCAAGTGATTTTGGTATCTCCTCCTTGGTTTGAGGCTTACCGAATGTATTCGGATGGTGTTTGGTCAGCTAATTGTTATCTTTGTGGTAAAGTTTAGGTTGTTAAAACCCTATCAGATGCTATGTTATTTCAAAAATCTAGCTCGGATACTCAGTCTCTTTCGTCTTAATGTCGAAATCTCTTTCTCTATTTTCAGTGCTTCTTTTTCAAAAGTGTCGAGTATCAATCACTTGACATGTTTCTCGGATTGCTTGAAATTTATCATTCTTCTCAAATTCTTTGGCCAAGCTTTGGAGATTTTATGGTCTTTTTTTTTAATATTAAAACGGTTTGTAGTGACTTTGTTTATATCTCCTTTTATTATATTCTTTGTAATTTAGCTAATAGTAAAATATATAGTTTACCTTTATGTTGTAATGATTCATTTTTTTAGTAAAACCTAACTATATATATATATATATATATATATATATATATATATTTGTTTATTTGACATGGTTGCACACACAGAAAAACAAAACTTAAAAATTATCATAGTTATATAAAAATGCTAATGTAAGAGTCTCTAAATATGTGTGTATATATTTAATTTAAATTTAAAATTTAAAATTTTAGTTTTTTATTATTAATATGAATTTTATATATAATTTATTTATTTTTAATAATTTTTAAAAACAATAATATAATTTGGATTTTTTTTTAATTTTCAATGTTGAGCTGGACCAATAAAAAATTTATACATAATTTGTTTTACTCAGAAATAATATTAGAACTTGTAAACTTTCTTAATTTACTTATTCAACAATAATATTAGAATTTGTAAACTTTCCTTAATCTTGAATATTGATGTGGACCAATAAAATTGCCCTTTTAAATCCTATGTGGACACCTTAAAATGCATTTAGCTTCAACTTTTATTAGTATATAAGATTATATAAGTTCTTATCATACATGATTAAATTTACTTTGTATCGTATCTATCTAATTTCTAAGGGAGGAGTATCTAGGTTCGAGCTAAATCCTAGATTCTCACGAGCCATAACTTTTGCTCGAAGGTAATTATAGTAATGTCAAAACTTATTATTAATTAATATTTATTATTATAAAAAAAAATAAAAAAAACTATTTTTGTTTACAAGTTTTGGAAAAAAGATGAAAAAAAAGTGGTTATTAATCTGGGAACTGATGATGACGAAGCAGCTTCGTCATCAACAAAGAAGATGGATTTCGAGATGGGGAAAAAAACTAATGTTCTTTTAGTGATTTTTTTATATTATATCATTATGAACATATTCGTATTTCTTTCGTCTTCTAATACTTCATTATGAACTTTATATTAAGTCTATGCTTATTTTGTTTATCAAATCATATTTATGAAATCGAAAATATACGTTTAAATAATATTAGTAAGTGTAAATAATATTTGCCAAAAATTAAAATAACTAATTACGTAACTTCTATTATTAAGTAATTATTATAAATATTAAGAAAAATAATTAGAATATGTACAAATCTCATATTGTGATATTACCTTCTATTATCTCACCTAAAAAAAAAATCTAAAAGAATTTAGTTACTGTATATTGGTTTACAAAATTTGTTATATTTACTTATATTAATCTGTTTAAAAATGAAAAAACGTCCTCGGCTAGCTATTTATAGACTTAGGTCTCTATTCGTTTTTGATAATCCCACATCGCAATCAGTCGCTTATTGCTGTAAGATATGTTATTTTTTGCGTAAAATTCCGAATCGATTCTTTGTTAGTTTGTTTTCATATTATTGAAGTAGTTTTCATCTGCAGAACGAATCTTGGTTGGTTGGTATCACCATGGACTACTTAACTTTCGACAAACTCACCACAAATCGCTCCTGTCGTCGTACTATAGCACGTCTAATTAGAAAGTGGGAATCCATATACGGTGATAAAAAAACGGTTTCTGGGGACATAATCTTCTTTTAGTCGATGCTCAGGTTAACATTATTAAAGTTATCATATTGCTATGTGTCGAATTGTTTATCATAATATAAAGTTAGATTTTTAATTATTGTATTACAAACAGGAAAATATAATTCAAGCTTCAGTTCATTCCTCTATTTCACGTGTTTATGGTGATCACTTGTTTGAAGGCAGTCTCAATGAGATGTTTAATTTCAATAATGATATGAGTTATAAGATTACTAATAATCAGTTCATGATTGTGCTAACTGAGCGAACAAGGATATCGCCTTTAGCACCTGGAGTACAAATAATACCTAGGGAGAAATTTCTCTTTGTGGATTATGGATATTTATCAAGGTCAGACAATTTGGTGTGTAGACTATATGGTACGTATTGTTTTAAAATTATGTGCCCATTACTTCATCTGATAGTTATAGAAATCTAATTAATTAATATTCGAATTGTAGATATCATTGCTTATGTGAAGCATGTGAACAAGACGGATGGTCGGATTGAGGGTCAAGTTGTTGTTAGGAGGCTTGTACTAACCCTTCTAATGGAACGGTATGTTTTTAGTCAAATTGAGTATAAGATTTAGCTTATATTGAGATATTTAAAATACTAAACAGTCTCTTAATTATTTTCGTGATTTAGATTTGTAAACGGTCCTGGAATAGAGATCAACATGGTGTTGTGGGGAGAACAAGCAGAAAATTTTGAAGAAAAGTTTAGAATTTACAATAATACTAATATTGTCTTGATCAGTACAAGTGTATTGGGCAATGTCAGTAATGGTTCTGTCACATTGTCAGTTACTCCTGCGTCTAAGTTTTATTTAAACCAGGAATTTCCCTGTGTTGCTGCTCTCAGAACGAGGTATAAAACTTATTTACTTATTATATTATTATCATTGTTTATCAATACATTATTTCTTATTTTTTTAATAAATATTTCCAATAGGCTCCTTTATGATGGGATATGCTCAATGGATCGTGGTGAATCTGTTCAAGAATACTCTGCTGCAAGCCTCCAAAATCACGAGTTTTTATGTTTATCAATGTCTTAGATAAAATATTCATGGTTGGATTAAAATATATCTATGGTCTAAAGTGTGTTTTTCCCAAGTTTTATTATTAGTCAACATGTTATTCATATTAGTTGATTAAAACAATATCTTTTTGGGTATTTATCATTTAATATTAAAATAGATTTGATTCACTCAGAATTCTCATATCTAAATACGAATCATACGAAATGTTTTATTCTAATTTTCATTAACAAAAAAATTTATAATAAATATATTTGGTTATTATTATACATTAAAAAGTATGACCTCAAAAATGTATGTATTAATTTAAAAAAAAACTATTGTGTATATTTGGAAGATTGTTAATATAATATAATATAACTTCTGAATTCATGTATTAGCATGTCTATATGGAAATATCATAACATTTTAATAAATATAGAAAATTTCCCATTAATTTAAATGGATATCGTTGAATATGTACGATCTATTCTTATTTTTGTTTAAGTACGATCTTTCTTTAATTTAGATACTTAATGGATCTGAATATGTAAATTTACCATTATTCAAGTAGATATTTATGAAAAATTTGGTATTATCTCTCTATTATTGTATTTTTTCCGCTATTTAAGTAAATACATAATATACACATATCAAAACTAAAGTTTGGAAAAAAAAGATTAAACACCAATGCATGTTACTGTGAATATTCAGACTACATCAGTGATTGATAGACCAATGCATGATTCATATAAGTCGTTTAATCAATAGTTATTTTTTTGAAAAGTCGCAACTTTACATAAAAATTCAAACAATATGTTCTGAAAAGTTGAAAATAGACATAACCCATGGACAAAATTCATTGAATCTACCTACTTACTTATTTTGTTCTTTCCCTATATATATATATATGTTATCTTAACAAGAAGAATATTTGTTCTTCAAATAAACATATCAAACCAGAAAAAAGAAAAAAAAAAACAAAAAAATCCCAAGCCCTTATCCTTCGTGATGGATTCATATGATGCAGTTCGTGATTTGCATGCATGGAGGGCCGACTGGAACATTGGCGTCAAGGTCTTGAGACGATGGTTTATTGTTCATCGAAACAGGAATCCAGGCTTAGCATTCGTTTTCGTTGATGAACATGTAAGCTCGTGATAACATATATGTTTTTATTGTACTTTAGCATGTTATATAATGCGATTGTCATTATATTTGTTTATAATTTAGGGCTCTAGAATTTATGGTACTTGTGGTGCTACATGTTATGAGTACTTCGAGAGGGTTTGCCCTGAAGGAGGATGGGTAAGACTGACCAATTTCGGCTTGATTCGGTCGGATTGGGAAAGGAAGGAAAGAGTTACTTAACACAAATCCCAGATCACTCTCAACTCGGAGACCAAGGCTTCACGGATCAGGCCATTGTCTGAAGATCCCTTCATGAATTTCGTTGATTTTGATGAGATTTATAATCGTCCCTATAATCACTTGTACCCAGTTGGTACGATTTTGATTTACACTCTTTAAAAATCGGAACTCGATAAATGTTTTACAATAGTTTATTTCTTTTAAAATTATTTTATTTTATCCATGCATGGCTAATAAAGTACTTTATTTTTTGCAGATCTTATTGGAGTGTTGGTGAATGTTGGTGAACTCTTAACATCTGAGTCCTCAAATGGAAGTACTGAAAAAACGCTGAAGTTCACTATCAAGAATCTTGAGTAAGAATACTTTAAGTTTGACTCATATAAATTATGATAAATAATGAGGAAAATAATTATTAATTTTAATTTTGACAAAGGGATCGGACTGTTAATTGCTTGGCTCATGGTGATTTCGCTGTTGATATCAAGAACCAGACTGTAGGCGTAGATGGTCCGGTTGCGATTTGTGTATTGACGGATTATATGGTCAACAAATATCAAGGTATGTGATCTATAAATTTTAATGAGGTTTTATATCATGCAAATAATCTAAATAATTAAACGTAGGAATAGTTGTATTCTGATTTCTTCACTTGACTTTTATTTTAGATGAAATAACCATCCATGATCATGAGAATATTGGCTTTTCACGTTTCTTTGTTACTCCACCTATTGATGAGGTTCTCATCTATCGTAGGAAGTAAGTATAAGAAACTTTTGGTTACTTAAAATTCAGTTTATTTAACTAATATTATACTTATATATAAATATAATGGATAGGATTCGGGAAAGGATAAAGAAGAGAATGGAGGATGCAGGAAACCATGGAATGTGACTTGCATAAATGGCGGTTCTATGAGTTTATCGTTTTCGTATTTCTTTTATTATATGTTTAAGACTTCATGGCGTGATGTTATCCTTACTATGTTTTCTTATGTTTTAACTTAAACTCGGTACTGCGTTTAAATAATTATGTTGTTTTTAATCTAAAAATTTTAATTGCTGTTATTTATATAACCTGCTCTAAAATATCTGATTAGTTAACTTTAGAAAGAAATAGTTAAACCAGATATACACTACATTCGTATTCATAATAATTAATAGTTAAATCAGATATACACTAATTTGTAAGATTCATATATATCTCTATCATATTTTCTGTAACTTTAGATGATTTTATCTTATAAATCTTACAAACTTGTATAGTCATAAAAAAATGTGAATCTAAATAAATCACATATTTTAAATATGAAGAAATAGTACATATTAAAATTTAGAAATTTAGTAATTTTTGGTAGTTATACAAAATAAAAAAAAGTAAACTTCTGTGCCAAAAATATTAAATGAAATTCTATTTTCCCAAAATGGTCACATATTTTCACGCAAATAAGAAAATTTATAAATTTGAATGTTTGGCCATTAAGCAAATAATTGTCAACTATACATTTTACTCATCTTTAAGGTTTATCGCTTTGAAAAATTATAGTAACTACTTAAAAGTATTAAACTCACACGTACCAAGTTTTTTTAGTTTAAAATCCTAAAGACTACATCCTTAAACACGTGTATAAAAGAGTTTTTCATTATTCTTATGAACAGAATAAAGAAACGCATTTTCTTAGCTTAGAATCTAGGCTCTGTTTAGTGTTTAGTTATTAAAAAAACTTACATAATATTTCAGTGTTGGCTATGACATTGATCAGATTTGTGCTTAACACTAAGAAAGAAATCACAAATGTTGATATCAACGTTGTTACTACGTGGTTACAAACAACGTAGAAAGTAAAACTACATACAGATAAATCAAAATATTAGTGTATGAGCGAATAATCATAAAATTATAAATAGTGCATATAGCATAACAATTTTTAATTCTTAAAGTTCTATATCACAGTGTTACTTTTCAGGCGCTATAATTATGTCAGTTGAACTTGCCAAAGATTATAAATAATTAGATTCCCCTGTCAAAGTTATTTCAGGCAAAAATTCTTACAGATTGATTTGCTTTATTCTGCATTGAAAAGTAATCTTCTATCGGTTGATAGACCGTTGCATGTTACACTAGGAAATTGTAAAAACATATGAATATTAAAATATTATTACCCAAAAATTATATAACTATTCTAACGTATATTTATTTATCAATTTGTAATTATTCGATTTTGGACTAATGAAAAGAAAACAATTATGGGTTGTGGTTTCAAGTATCATTTACCAAGTTCTTCTATTACGAACATCCCAAAGATTTAAAATTAATAAGGCTGTATCATCTGAATTTAATCAAGCAATCTACTTCAAAGCTTCCAGGTTTACGTTTTTTTCTACTATACTATAATGTTTCAATATTTATTATTATAATTTATAGACATTTTTCTTATTAGTTTTAGGGTTATTCTATTTATCTGGAATATTGTATTTAGGCAAATGAGTACTGAATTTTTATAGTGATACACTCTCTCACTAAGGAATATAAACTCCAATGCATTAAACATCTTTCTCTCATTTGTTCACTTTGCTTGAGGATAATCAAAGGACAGTTTGACAAATCGTTTCTTAAATATATATTTAAGTTCACATTTGAATCAATTGTCATTTAATTTTGTTAGTTTTGACGAAACGTAGCTTAAGTATATAAAACCCGCCTTTAAAAGCATAACCGTCGTTTCTAAAGTATATTAAGCCCGAATCGTTGCATAAGTATTTAAAACCCGTCTTTAAAAGCAAAACCATCATTTCTAAAGTATATTAAACCCGCGTTTTAAAACATAATAACCGTTTTTGGACTCCGTCTTATAAAAAAAACGTTCATTTGTCTCATTTTTCATCTCCAAACAAAATAAAAATAACGAATGGCTCCTTGTAATAGAGTTTCTGAACTTCAGAAGATAAACGGTGGGCAACGTATTTGTGTCCAAGTTGTTCGAAATTATTATGATTTCACTCTCATTGGTTGCCCTAATCGGAAGTTAGTTCTCGCTGATGAACTTGTAAGTTTGTGAGATTTTAAAAGATTATCCCTGTTCATGTTTTGGGAATGTAATCGTTTATTGATTCTTTTTACTAAAACTGTGTAGGACAATCGCATCCCGTGTACCATGCCATTTGAAATACTTGACAAATTCGAGAATGTATTGCTCGAAGGAGAGTGGTATTTTCTTGGTAATTTTGCAGTTACTGACAGATTACCCCATCCAAGCATATCATCAAACAACTGTCATATACGTTTAAACGAGGATACAATCACTGAGAAAACCGATCCGAAATCTTCCAGAGAAATATACTCTTTCTGTGCATACATAGATATTTTGCTTGCGTCGATTCAAACTGACCGATATCTTGGTAAGTTTCCTACATGCATGTTATCATCTTGGTTTATCTCACTAACTTATAAATGAATTTTTTTAACTTAGTTGTTTAATTTTGCAGTTGATGTTCACGGGATTGTCACTTTTGTTCAGAAACTTCAAAGTGGAGTTCATATGTATGATACATCGGATACACCCACAGAACGTCCACTTATTCGTTTTGTACTCGAAGATCTCGAGTAATTACAACTTATCCTCATAATATCTGGTGTCAGACTTGGGTTTCTTGATATATTAAAATATGTTAATTATCTTCTATATTGGTGAAAATATATACAGTGGAAATTCCTTGAAATGTATTGCTTGGGATAACTTGGCAAGAAAATTTGAAGAACTTTGGACGAATCGTGATAGGTCTTCAAGGCACATTATTGTATTGCGATTTTTCTCTTTCAATATGTGGAGAGGTATGTAAATATTAACTATTAATATCTATCCAATAGAGCAATTAATCAGAAGATTAACAAATTTATTGTTACCACATGCGTTTAATCAGAAGTTTAACTAATTTATTGTTTCCACATGCGTACTGAATATGTATATGTAATTAGATGAGTGGATTGTTGAATCGTAAAGATTCATATCTGATATTCTCGAGGATCCTCCTACTCCAGAAGTGGCAATAGCAAAAATGAGGTATGTAAATTACATATTTGATGTTATATCCTGTATATGTATTCTACTGACATCTATTTTATGATTTGATAATATTGTCATATTGTTCCAGGCTTGAAACTTCAGTTGATTTTACCCCTTTGGATGATGAATATGAAGATCAGTATGCTGGGAGGGCTGCAACGGGGAATGCATAAATCACTGGAAGATTACTTTTTTTTTATTTCTTATATTAAGTTCTGGATTTAAAGGAGTGATATCCTCTTTATTTCATTTTATTATGTAACAAATTCTGGCTTTGCAGTATAATGATTATGGTGTTTTAAACTATATTCACTACCGTTAATTATTATAAATTCTTATGTAAGATATATATTAGATGGTTTACACAATAGGTTTAACCAGATAATCGTCACATCCGCAATCATAATCACTAAATAATGTTATTTTTTGATATATAAATAAATATTAAATCTAACAAATAATTGTAGTAACTAATAATTATCAAATAAAATAATTAAGGATAAATATAAATTTAAATCGCATTATAGTTATATGATAAAGATTTTTGAAAAACTCGGTATTTATCTCAAAAAATTATCTCTTAAATTAGTTGTACTTCTAAAAATGCCCGTGTAAATTGAGAAAATTTGCATTTTAATAATATTCATTTTACTTCATCGATTTTGTAGTTTTTGGTAGTTATTCATAAATAAAGAAAACTTCCGTCCAAAATTTTTATTTATTTAGAACACTTCTTCTTACTCGCTGATATGTATATACTCAAATAAGAAAATATACATATTTGAAAATTAAATAATTTAACATAAAATCGTGATCTATACATTGTAGTCATTCTCGGATTTATCTTTAATAGGAATTATTATTAGTTACTAATAAAAAGGAAAAAATTGGTGCACCATAGATATAATCGTTTAAAACCCTAAAAACCACGGCTTTATATACGATTGTAAGCTTACGATAATTCTCTCACCCTTTCTAGGCAACTAATAAAAAAAAAAATCATTCTATTAGCTTATAATTATAACTCAATTTCTCATAAGGGTTAAATCACAATGGGTACACATAACGCGAAGATCTCATGTGACATCTTGCTTGATTCATCCTCTAATGCTGATAACAATGGTAACTTAATGGTTTTCGTTTTTACTTTGCTTATTTTTAATATCATAATCTGAAGTTTATGCTTTTACGTGAAAATTTATCTTATTTTTAAGCCATTAAAAGATTGTCGTTAATCTTTTGTTATACTATAAATTCTTGCAACGAGACATGTTCATTTTTGCTTATGATGTTTGGAATAAAAACATAAATTAAATTTTTTCCTATCTTTCAGTTCTTCATAATACTGTTGGCCGAACATCATCACTTGAAACGGCATTCGAGAGGTTACGCCTCTATCAATCCTATGATCGTCTCCCTAAACATCCTTCAAAATTGCATAATCTTCCACATATTCACGGTATGAGTGTTATATTAAAAAAATAAAATAAAAACTCATTGAATGATAAATAAATTATATATGTCTTATTATTTATAGATACGTCGAAAATACCTTGTGGTTTAAGAAAGAGGAGTGGGCCACGCGAATTGGGTTCTAAGGTGTTTGGGTTTGGAATATTGTATTCTGAATCAGCTCATGGAGATCGCACAGATGTTCATTCGGGTTGTTGGGATGTGCCCTGTCATCTAATCAATGAAATTGGTAAAAAATTCCTATAGTAATATCTTTTTTTATAGTTGTTACCAATATATTCATAATTTGGTTTGATATAGGACCAGATAATGAATTCGAACATGACATGATTAGCGACTCAGCTAATAGAAGCATTGGTGTTTCTAATGAACATGAGCAAAACGGTAAGTCTCTTGATCAGAACAGTCTTCAAGTTGATAATTTATTATACATCTATATAGAAGGACGACTAATATATAAAAAATGTATATTTATAAATATATATATATATATATATATATATACGAAGGTCCTACTAGTGCTGATCCTGACGAATCAAATTACAAAAAAGATTATCAAACTGATGGTGATCGAACAGATGACATTGGTGATGGCGACATTGAAACCGATAACAAAGATGATGGCAATGATGGTGATAATAGCGGTAGTGACCAACCGGATACTGATAACAATGATGATGATGACGACTGGTATGATGGTTGTGATGACGAAGAAGAAGAAGATGAAGACAGTGATGATAACGACGGCGACGAATATGATGACGAGGAAGATGTCGAAGATAGTACTGATAGTGATGATAGTGATGGAATTGACGAAGAAGACGAGGACGAAGAAAGTGATGATTGTGAGGAAACCGAAGAAAAAAATGAAGACGATGACTATGATGAGACGAAGGAATGGTCTGATGGTTGTGATGAAGAAGGAGACGAGGACGAGAGTAATGATGATGTTGATGAGAAAAATGAAGAATACATGAGTGATGATGTTGATGGTATTCAGAATGATGCATCGGCAGTGAAAACCGAATGTTCTGCTGATCATCAGCCCAAACGTCCATTGGGAAAAAGACTATATATCAACTATGATTTCCATGGAACATCACAAGATCTTGTGGATGGTATCTTTGTTAAAGCTTCCCCTAAGCGCATTTGCGTGCGACGTAGGCTCTTTACTTCAGATTCTGAAACTGATAATGGTGATGAATGTTCCAACGACTCCTCTTCAAATACAGCTATGGTGTCTCAAGAGATCCAGGCGTTTCCAATAAAAGTCATACATCTAACCAATGGACCGTGTGAGTTTGAGATTAATGTTAAAGTTTTGAGAGTTTGGACTCATAATTTGCACCCATCTGAAAAGCGTCTCGAGGCTGTGCTATGTGATGACCTGGTTTGTTTACTATATAGCCCAGTTTTATATATTTACATATGTAATATTTTTGTTACATATTAATATTGTGATAATTAGACTTTAACAATTTATATCAAATGCTAGGGTGATAAAATACATGCCACTGTACCAACCGCATGCTATGCTTTGTTTGAAGACCAGATTGCTGTTGGAAATTGGATTAAGATTCGCCGTTTCCAGGTTGCTCATGTCTATGGTGTTTTTAGGACAACTTCGCATCGTTTTAAAATAGTTTTGGGTTCACATACTATCGTAGATGGTGATAGTTTTCATTGCGAACAGAATTTTTTCGATTTTATCGAATTCCGTGTAATCCTGAATCGCACATACAGTGACGACTTTTTAGTTGGTAAGTATGTTGATATATAATTTATATTTTGTTTAAGGATAAGAAACAATACTGAGTTTACTATTGTCTTTCGTTTCAGAAATAATTGGCCGTGTTGTAAACGTTGGCAAGTTTCAGCCGTGGGAAGGTTATACCTTGGACCAACTGGAGGAAAAGGGCATTGATAGCGAATACCAGTTTATCACTTTCTACTTGGAGGATTTAGGTTTGTATTCCCTGTTCAATGTTTTCCCGAATTTAACTATGTGAACAATTATAAGAATACAAGCATATATAATTTGTGCTAATCATTTTAATCATGTAGGCACGTTCGTCTCTTTTGCAAATTGACTGGCAAAAGAGCTTTAAAGTTCTATAAGGACTGGCGTAGTTGTGATAGCCAAAATGCTGTTTGTGTAATCAGATGGGGAATTATTGATTATCTTGGACGTATGTCAGTTGCATATATAAATTAATGTTTGAATATGCGTGGTATAAATTTAGTATTTTACTTCTTATTTCAGGAAAGGTAACGATCTCGGCTATTCAACAACCATTGGTAGTACTGAACCCACATGTTGCGGAAGTCGAAGAATTCAGACAAAAGTACGGCCTGTATATATCTTTCTATATATAGTATACAATATTATACATAACCTTTTTTTATGTTGTTTTATTTTTATTACACAGGATGATTAGCAGTCGAAGCTATCGTCTAGAGAGTGTTCACCATCAAGATTAGATAGATACAATATTACCCATATTCACTATTCGTATTTCAAATTTATGTTTTAGGATACATTTCATAAGGTTTTGTTTTTTTTATTGTGCGTGTTGTTCGTTTCTTTTTAGTGTTCTTTGAATTCTTCATCTTCACTATATGTGAAGTTAGTATTTCATAATTATAATTATTGTTTTCGTATAATTTATTATCAATTGTTTCTCGACTATTGCCTATACATGTTCCATATATATATTTCTAAGCTAAAGTATCTTTCATAAACATGCATATACAGTATATATATTTATATCCGAGTTGAAATTCTCAATGAAATACATATATATTGGTATTGTTACATATATTAAATTTTCCAACGATTGTACTCATCATACTCGAAGGTCTTTTCCTTCTTTGTAGTATTTACAAAAAAAAAACTTAGGAATTATGGAAATTATGATTATTTTTTAAAAATTACAAAAATATAAGCAAAGGTTATATTCCGAAATATATTTTTAGAGAAAAATAATATATATATATATATATATATATTTCTAAAACAAAATTTTAAAATTGAAAAAAGGATATTATAAAAAAAGGAAAATGTACAAAGGATGCTAATTTCATTATCATTATTATTTTATTTTATGTTAATGTTAAAATGACTGAAAACATAATTTTACGCAACTGATTTTTGGATAGAAATAACAAATATACTTATATGAAAAATGTAATAAGTAAAATTTACATTTAAATTATGTTAAGTTTTAACATTTAACTCGATATATAGAAATCAATAAAAGATACGATACGATATTTATTTGCATCGATCCAAAAGACCTAGGGTTTTTATCAATTCCTATATATATATATATATATATATATATATTTATGTACGACTGATTAATCTTCCTCATTAATTTCGTACAAGAATTTTCGGAAAAATGAAGAAGATGGAGTCGTCAATAGATAATAGTGTTGACACTAAGAAAGTTGTGAAGTCTTATCTCAAGCGGAAAACAATCGTCTCTGCTCTGATAGATGAAATTGATAGAACGAGTGATCGTTACAAGATAAAGGTTCAGATAATCAATCTCTGGAAATCATATCGTAAAAACAAGGTTACATCCATAGAGATGGTATTAGCAGATGAAGTGGTAGGCAATGTTAATGTTTTATATCTATATACATGAACATGCATCATTTAGTAAAATTATGATATGAATAACTTAAATATTAATTATGTTTTTGACTATATCAGGGTTCTAGAATTCATGCAACTGTTGATGGAGATTTGGTGGAGCAATTTAATTCAGAATTGACGGAAGGCCGTACTATATTCTTAAGCAACTTCACGTTCAAAGATTACACTACTGCATATAGGACAAGTCATTTATCTTTTAAAATAAGTTTCTACAGGACTACTGTTATAACACCTTGTGATGACTTTCCTAGGGAACTTCCTTATAGATATTTTAAGGAATTTTCAACCATAAGTAATGGGGATTATGACAACAGTGTTTTAATAGGTATGCTAGATGTTTTTTGTTTACTATATTTATCGAGTTATACTGTGATATTATACATCTTATCTGTACTAATTCTTTATAAATATTAATGTAGATGTCATAGGGCAGGTTGTTAGTCTAGAAACTTATGACGTTATCGCTCAAGGAAAACCAATAAGAAAGTTGGACGTTGTTCTACGTAATGCCAGGTGAGTTCATAATGATATAATTTATGATATAATATTTATTAAAATCATATATAATTTATTTAGTTTGTTGATTACGTATAGTGATAATCGCTTGACTTGTACGCTGTGGGGAAATTTTGGAAAGAAAGTAATCGACTACGTGACGAAAAATAGTGCGTCTGTGATCGTGTGTGTTGTTAGATTTGCTTCAGTATCATAATGGAAATGTATATTTGAATTTAATTGTATTGGTAACAGTTGTGATATAAATAAGTTTATCATAAACGCTTTTTTAGAAATTTCAAAAACTTTACTTCTATTTTCTTGTAGGAGTTTACAGTATTTCAAAGTCTTTCAACGCAACACAGATATTTCTTGATCCACATTCTAAACAAATTGAAGATTTTCGAGCCTTGTAAGTAATGAAATCTGTTTGTTTGTGTATACTTTTAGAGCTATCATGAATACTAAACGGAATGTCTTTTGTTAGGTTGCCAACCAACACATTTGTGATATCCAATGAACATAAGGTGCCATCATCATCCACTAAGTCTGTTTCATGGAGAGATGAATTCTTTGATAGAAATGAAAGAAAGACAATTCAGGGTATTGTTTATGCTGATATGGTACGTGTTTATTAATTTTATTTTAAATTTATACATAATAATTATTTGTTTTATATATTTCAGAATGATCTGTTTTTTAATATTTAAATCAAATTCTTTTCGAGTGTAGGAAATGAAATGTGTTACTGCTGCGACAGTTGTTCGAGTCGAATATAATCCTATATGGTATTATATTGCATGCAGAACTTGCGATAAAACAGTTCATCCAATAGAATCTGATTCTACCGATGACGATTCTTTGCTATTTGATTGTAGAGAATGTGGCGAGGCTGTCTCAGATGTTGTAGCCAGGTAAATAGTTCACTGATTCAAAGTAGTTATTTGAAAAATTTATTATTGGCTTTACAAATATTCATATTTTCGTAGGTATAAGTTAGTGTTGGTTGTTTCCGACGATTCTGGCGAAGAGATAAGATTCTTACTGTTTGATAAAATCGCAAGCGCATTTCTCCGAGTTCAGGCAGATACTTTAGCTGAGGAGGTTGCTGAGGTATATCATTTTATAATACTTTGTGCACATTATCATATAATCTTATGTTATTTATGTGTAATGTCTTTTTATATTTTGATCAGGACGGGACTTTGGTGCTTCCACGAGCTCTTTCTGCTTTGGTTGGGAAGAAACTCCTTTTCAAAATCGGAATAGGAACGGAGAATCTGACTAACAGACGTCAAACTTATAAAGTTGAGATCGTTGTCGATGATGCAGATATGTTGAATAAGTTTGAAAATCATGGAATTCGATCCCTCGAACATGATTAAGAACTTAGGTACTCAGGTAGAGTTGCATCACTGACACCATCGCCAGTATCAAAACGAGTTTCAGAATCAGCCGTTCAAACGCCTAATGTTGACGAAAGAAATAATAGCAAGAAGAGAGGAAGACGGCAATGAAAAAACACACAAGTTTTAAAATCTTCGAACTGATATTCTTAGAATTCTCGATGTTGTTGTTTTTTTTTTTTTGGGTTTTTCATATACTTTAGTACTGATATTTATGCATATTTGAATTTATGGTTCGTTTTATTAGGATGCATTATTGATTCAAAGAAAGAAAAAATCAAAACAAGTACTTAACTCTCTCTATAAATTGCGTAGTAACACAACTTACTTTATTGTGGAATATTTCAGTTTATGCATATATGCAATTTTTATATTTTAATATTCTAATAGTTTCATAAATTAACACATGAAATCGTTAAAGTATTTAAGATATCGATTATTCTATTAATATTAAATATTTTATAAACTTAAACTCAAAAAAAAAAGACAAAAATAAAATGTTAAATTAGGTTTGTTTCAATAAACAAAAAATGAAAACCCTACAAATTATGGTAAAACCCTACATATGTTTAAATAGTGTTTCTAATGCACGTATTATAATATCGTACAAAAAGAAAAAAGAAAACCTAATCACAAACTATGGGGCCGAAGAAAAAGAGAATAACGAAACCTAGGGTCGTTAAGATATCTGTTTCAAATCGTCATAAGTGTTTATGTTTCTTTGAAAAAAATGCATGTATTGTTACTTTTGATATCCCGCTGAATCACCTTTTATCCTTAATACAGCAATCGTTTCAAGGGCTGAAACGTATGCACCAACGTTGCCAAAATCAGTTTATCATCAATACATTGATATAGAATCTATTGGACGTGTTGGTATGGCGAAGATAGCCAGACAAAACAGACTGAATATCATTCGATCCAAGCGTGGTTTACCAACAATAAACAATTCAAAAGGTTATGTTGATTAAATAAAATATTATATTGATTTATATTAAATATATGTAACTAACTTCATCTGATTGTGTAAATTTATAGATATATTGCTAGAGTCCGTTGATGTCGATGATGTTCTATGTTTTGTCGCTACTGATTCGGACACGGACGATGATAAAGATTCAGATGCTGTTCCGCAAAGTAATTCCAACAAACGACGACCAAGACAAAAAAAAACAGAGACCACCGAATTATCCTGAATATAATTCATTCGCGAGTTTTGGCTTGATGGAAAGTGGTACAAATCGAAACAAATTCCCTTTTATTAGTATATACAAGTTATTATATTTTAAAATTTTAAAATCAATTATAGGTTATTATGATGATGGTGATCAATCTTACATGTGTGACTATTGTCATGCTTTAATGTGGTTTGGAGAACGTATAAACAAGCACTCTCTATCTTCTACTCCAGTTTTCACGATGTGCTGTCTAAGTGGCAAAGTTCAGCTACCTTTATTGAAAGCTCCCCCGAAAACGTTGTTAAAGCTATTGTATAATCGCGATAACACGAGGAAACACTTCCGTGAATTCATAAGAGCATACAATATGATGTTTTCGTTTACGTCACTTGGTGGAAAGGTTGATAATACTATAAAAAACGGTAATGGTCCGTATCTATTCCAAATGTGTGGTGAAAATTATCATTTGATCGGAGATATGTTACCAGCACCTGGCAAACAACCAAACTTCCTACAATTATATATCCATGATACCATCAACGAAGTTAAAAATAGGATGAATGCTTATGGGTAATCCTCGATTTTTATTTATAATAATAATAGTTTGAAAACGACTGTTCAGGGATGTTGGTAATTCGAGGAAGCTGAGAGCAGATATCGTGGAGCTTCTGAAGAAAATGTTAGATGATCATAATCCTCATGTTAAAGCCTTAAGAACTGCACGCGAACGATTTGTTGGGAATCAAAATTCTAAAGGTTTTAATTTGGTTCTTGCAAGTGGCCGAACTACCGATGGTCGAACGCATAACTTACTTACTGAGAACGATGTGGCAGCTTTGATACCTGGTGATTTCAATATGTTAACAGAAAAAAGAGACATCGTTATTCAAAGCAAGTCTGGAGGTTTATACTGTATAAGTGAGTTGCATCCGGCTTATTTACCTTTGCAGTATCCGTTATTGTTTCCGTATGGTGAAGATGGTTTTAGATTAGGTATTGATATTGGCTATGTTGATACATCTGGAAGGAAACGCACAACCGTGACAATGCGCGAGTTTTTCGCATTTCGCATTCAAGACAGGCATGGAGAATCCCCAATCATTATGATGTCTGGGAGATTGTATCAGCAGTTTCTGGTTGACGCATATACGATGGTAGAATCAAATAGGCTTCGTTATATATGGCATAATCAAAAGAAGCTACGGTGTGACAGCTTTGATAAGATTGAACAATCTGGTGAACGTGGCAATAATGATCTTTCTGAACAAGGAAAAAAGGTGCTTATACCTGCTTCATTCACGGGAAGTAAGAGATTCATGAGGATATTATCTAGACACGATGGCAACATGCAAGTACTACGGATACCCGGATTTTTTCATAACAATTACTTGCAATCCAAAATGGCCTGAGATAACGAGGTTTTTGGAAAGACATGATCTAAAGATCGAGGATCGACCAGATATTTGTTACAGGATTTTTAAAATGAAGCTCGATAATTTAGTGAATTATCTAACGAAAGACCACGTTATGGGCCACGTTAACTCATGTATGTCAAAAATATTATATACTTATACTTAACGGTGAATGGTATACTTTAAGTATAAATCGTGCTAATATATAAAACGTGCCAACTTATATTTAAAGTATAGGTACTAATTCGATTTATTACATGTATTTTTAACTTTTTCTAATTGTTTTACTTTTATTTCAGCGATGTATAACATTGAATTCCAAAAAAGAGGATTGCCACATGCCCACATGGTAGTTTTCTTGAAACCTGAATCCAAACTACCAACAGGCGAGGACATAGATAGATTTATATCAGCAGAGATACCGGACAAGGACTTGGATCCAATTTTGTACGAAAATGTTGGAGACTTGATGATACATGGACCATGCGGTGATGACAATCCAAAAAATGTTTGTATGCATGAGAAAAGGTGTACAAAATTCTTTCCTAAGCCTATTGGATCAGTTACTAAAATCGATGATGCTGGCTTCCCCATCTATTGGCGTCGTATGGATCAAAGAACCATTCTCAAGAGGGGTATTTTGTGTGATAACCGATATGTTGTCCCATAATCCAGATCTCTTAAAGCGTTTTCGGGCACATGTTAACGTTGAGTGGTGCAACCAAACCAGGTCTATAAAGTACCTATTCAAATATATAAACAAGGGTCCAGATTACATTAGAGCAGCAATCGAGGATGAAGACGGTAACCCCGTTATATCCCAAGATGAGGTTGAGCAACATTACAATTGCAGGTAACTTTACGAAACTAATTTTTAAGATTGGATCGCTTGAATAATTACTTAAGTATGATTTAAAAAAAACAAGATTATTTATTTATGTTTGATTTGCTCATACTTAGATACATTTCACCGTATGAATCTTCATGGATGCTTCTAAAGATTCCTACACAGTACCGAAGCATGGCAGTAATGCAACTTTCGTTTCATTTGTCTGGTAAACAAATGTGTATATATCACGAAGGAGAGAGCGTTGACCAAGTCTTAAACAAGGCATCGGCAGGTCAGTCACAATTTCTAGCGTGGATGGAGGCAAACAAGGAACATGCCTTGGCAAAGGAGCTAACATATGCTGATTTCCCAACAAAATTCGTCTGGGTCTCAAAGCAGCGGCAATGGAGAATACAAAAACAAGGTTTTGCCATAGGCAGACTGGTGTATGTCTCACCTTCCGTTGAAAACGCATATCATTTGAGGATTCTTCTCAATATAGTCAAGGGCCCTGAGAGTTTTGATGATTTAAAAAAGGTTAATGGTGTTATATACTCTTCTTTCCGAGAAGCATGCTTTGCGCTTGGTTTGTTAGACGATGATAAAGAATACATTGAAGGAATTAAAGAGGCCAGTTTTTGGGGAACTGGAAAGTTTCTTCATAAACTTTTTGCTATAATGCTTCTTTCGAGTAGTGTAGCAGTTCTGATCAACGTCTGGAATGCTACTTGGAAAATATTAACTGAGGATTTCTTATATCAGAAAAGGCGTGAAGAGAATGACCCAGGTAAGATGGATTTGAAATTTTAAACTATTTTACAAGATTCACATTATCTTAGTTGCTAACAGACTTATTTGTATATCTAGGTTTGGTGTTGACTGAAGCCCAATATAAGAATCTTGGTTTGTCAGATATAGAGAAGTATATGCGCAGAAACGGTCATTCATTATCCGACTATAAAGGAGAGATGCCAGTCCCTGATGATATTGGAAAGTATAAGAAATCAAATCATCTAATCCAGGATGAGAAATCATATGATCGTGCAAAACTTGCAAACGATCATGTCAAGTTGTTTTCAACAATAACCAATGAACAGAAGGATATCTACAATGAGATAATGGATGCAGTTACAAGAGGTATCGGTGGAATGTTTTTTGTTTATGGATATGGTGGGACAGGTAAAACGTATCTATGGAGGCTTTTAGGCGCTGCTCTTCATTCTCAAGGAAAAATAGTTCTCAATGTTGCATCAAGTGGCATTGCAGCATTGTTATTAGAGGGAGGAAGAACAACGCATTCTCGGTTTGGAATACCCATAGTTGTGAACGAGTATACATTCTGTAATGTGAGTTCTGGATCACACCAAGCAGAGCTGATTAAAGCAGCCGATCTTATTATATGGGATGAGGCTCCGATGATGAGCAAGCATTGTTTTGAGACATTGGATCGGACTATGCGTGATATACTAAAGTGTGATAAGGTCTTTGGTGGAAAGGTCGTTGTTTTGGGTGGTGACTTTCGACAAATACTCCCTGTTATTATCGGAGGCAACAGCTCAGAGACTATATTGGCAACTGTGAATTCTTCTCATATTTGGTCTGATTTCAAATTTCTGCAGCTAAAGACAAATATGAGACTGCTTCGTGGCGATAATGATTTCAATAATCAAGAAATTGAAGAATTCGCCAAGTGGATCTTGGATATTGGTGATGGAAAACTAAATATTCATGATACCATAGAAGATGAATTAGAAATTCCAGCGGATTTGCTGATAAGCGGAGAAGGTGATCCTGTTAAGAGAATAGTCTCGGAGATTTATGGTCAATCTTACACAACCACTCCTGATCAAGTTTTTTTTCAGGAAAGGGCAATACTCAGTCCACGGAATCAGGATGTCGACGTTATCAATGAATTCATGCTATCAGAACTCAAAGGTCTTCGTTATATGATTTCTCACAATTCCTTTTAATACGTATTTATATTATAATTAAAATATATCAGTACTAACATAGTTTGAATTGTTTTTATTAGGTGAGGAATATGAATACCTTAGTGCCGATAGCATTGATACTTCAGACACAAGCAAAATAGACGAAGTCGTCTATACACAGGAGTATCTTAATAGTATGAAGGTATCAGGGCTGCCAAATCATTCTCTCAAGTTAAAGATAGAAGCTCCAATAATGTTGCTTAGAAATATTGATCCTAAGGGTGGTTTATGTAATGGTACGAGGTTGCTTATTACTCGGTTAGCTAGGCATGTAATCGAGGCAAGCCATATAACCGGGAAGAAAATAGGAAAAAAGGTTATCATACCTAGAATGTTTGTGTTACCACCAGAAGCAAAGTTTCCTTTTAGAATGCGCTGGAGGCAGTTTCCTATTACCATAACTTTTGCTATGACTATAAACAAAAGTCAGGGTCAGACTCTACAAAAGGTGGGATTATATTTGCCAAAGCCAGTGTTCTCGCATGGTCAACTTTATGTCGCCGTGTCTAGAGTTACATCACGCCAAGGGTTGAAGATTCTTATTACAGATAAGAATGGCAAAGCACAAAAGAAGACAATGAATGTTGTTTACAAAGACGTGTTTGAAAACATTTATAAAAATTCGTGGTTGGTTTGAATAGCTTGTTTTGTTAGCTACTAAAAGTATGTGTAGATTACATTGGATATTAGTTATAATATTTTGGTGGTTATTGATATTTTTAAACTGTTTTATCTTTTAAATTTTGTTATATTTAACTGATATATCTTTTGGATCTTTTTATATTATGAATTAGTGTTGACTATGACAACGTTTTGAATAGCTCTGTTTGTTTGAACTAAAAAAATAGTAAATTATCAATTGTTATAATATGCTTTTTAAGTATATATATTAAACATTATACAAATCAATTTATAAGCTTCCAATTATGGCTTGAATATTACATTTTAAACTCAACAAACTTTCGAAATATGGTTAGAATATTAAATTTAAAACACAGAAAAGTATTATATTCAAAACTAAAAAAACTTTTGAAGAATATTAGCCCGCACAGGGCGCGGGCCAGCCACCTAGTTAACTTATGAAGTTTTATGAACAATTGAAACCTAAACATATGAAATACGTATTTAACTATTTAATAATAAACAATAATTTTTTATTACTAAGAGGTTCTAGGCCGAAGCCCGTAATCCCCCAGAACTAAAACCACGGTATGTAATATTAGTTTTGTCCCAAAAACCACTCGAACCAGCGATGGGATCTTTACCACAATAATGGAAAGATTACACTTAGTGTTTTTAGTTCTAGAACGATTCTTATTAAATCCATAACCTATCGATTTATATGTATTAATTTCATTAATCTCTCTGTTTAACGTAACCCACTGCCTAACGCTATATCCCTCCTATTTCCTTGTGGACTTTATTTGTTGTTTTCACTTTGTCTTTTGCAACCTCAAACCACAATCTCATAAATTGTTTAGCTTGATTCAAGTCTTCTAAATTCTTAGTGTATATGTTTCTCATTGGATTGACCCCAAGTAATACTGTGTTTGTTGTGCACTTGCAATTATGTATTTTAGAGGTTAAAACCTAATAGCAATAAAGTTTTTGCAGGTGCTATGGCAAATGGATTGGCATTTTCTCCTCATGGATCGAGGCATAAGACTGATTTCCTTCAGTTCTCTGACTTTCTTTTGGAGCCATCAAACCAAATGGAAGTACATCGTGTATATGATATATCAATTCTAAGCAAATTGCTGAGCAAATGGAAGGACATTTTTTACAAGTGTTTTAACTCGATTTCTAATGGTTTTTAATTGATTTGTTGGAGTTTCAAAAGTCTTTTGATGTAATTTGGGAGAAAATAGCACACAAAGCATTCTACGGACAGATGGAAAACCCAACCGTTAATGCTCTAGGACATCATTTTTAAGTTATAAGTCTTTTGTTTAATTGCTGAACTTCTTATTTGGCTTTATGTACGCTTGATGCTTATCTTACACTTTTTTTCGAGCCCGTCATAAGCCCACTCTCCTTCAATCGATCTTTGACACACATCATGCCATCACATAATATAAGGTCAGTGAAACAACTCTATTGTTCCCTATTCAAACAAATATGTAGTCTAAAAGAAGTCCATTGTCCAACAAATATGCCACTCTTACAACCTTGACTTGTTTTGCAGAGTTTTTTTTTGTTCGGAAACATACAATGATACAAGAATATCAGTTTCGATTGTTAACCCCCTAAATTTTCATGAAAATTTGAACTTCTCCATATGTGGAAGATAGTTATGATAGTTTTGTATATATATGTTTTTGTTATCAAATATTCAAAAGGGTATTATAAGCTAATTCATAAGAGAGTAACACTATAATTGTAATTAAAAAAAATGTTTTTTCGTGTTGTTTTGATAACTCTCACATCACTACTAGATGGCAACAAATTCTACCAAGCCTCTAAGTTAAGAGGTTTTCAATATAATTGTAATAAAATTGATACTTCGTGAACATTTTAGTGATCTAGAATGCATGTCTATGTCTTGCTCCGATCTAAGAAAATAATAGAATCAAGTGACTTGCGTAGAATGAGACGTATAATGTGTAGTGGTCTAGTGGTTTACAAATATTAAGACATAACAGAAAGACGAGCAGCCACGACCAATTCAAAATTGATGAGCCGTTGTATCATTAATTTTGGCCGTATATTTAAGCTTAACTTTATTCTTGTCTAGTAAAAAACTATTCCTACCTTAATCATGATAGTCCAATATGTTGAAGTCACGAATGTTTTATGAACAAGGATAGGAACTCAACCCAAGCTCCCCGTAGAAAAAAAAAAGTTTAATATCGTACATTTATGCAGAGTTAATTTTAACTAATTTAAAGATAACATTACAACATCCAATTCTAGTTTCATCCTTATTGCAGGAGTTTATTTTTTTTTTTTCGTAGGCTCTCAGAAATCCGTCTTGAAAGGTTTATAACTCTTGAGATCAGTGACAATGCCAACTACGGATCCTGCGGCCGCGGCTATGGACACAACAAGACAGGCCAAACTCAAGACTTGAAGGCAAACCCACCTTGTGCCCCATCTCGGCACATTCTTCTGTACAATGTACATTTCCACCGGGAAATAAACCGTCAGAGGCCAAAAACCGATGGCCCCTAAGAGACCAAGCACATCATTGAAGAAAGGCATTAACATTGAGATTAACGTTGTTATAATCACAAAAACCGTCCTCCACACAAGCCTAAAGAGATTCAAGTTGAATGGCTTGGATCCCGGAAAGAGGTGGATCTTTGTCTCCTTTGTGATGAACTTACTCTCTGGATATCTCTTGGATGCTTCCTTCTCGACAAACGCAAAGAGTGGTTGGCAATAGACTTGGTAAGCGCCGACTAGATGGATTATTATGGCGAGGTTAGCTATGTCAAGCAACCAATACGGGTTTCTGAACCCTCCCTGGGCGAGGAGATTCCCGGGTGCAGTATCACCGAATGCTGCGTACCCTACACAGCCACAGAGCATGTAGAAGAGTGTGGTCACTGCCACACTTATGAGAGTCGCTTTCTTCATCGTGTTTTCTTCTGCAGGTGGTGATTTCAATGTGTCCTGTATCATCGAATCTTCGTGTTAGAAGCCTTTCTTTAAGAAACTCTCAAACATATTCGCATAGAAAAATACCTGAATTTCGATGAGAATCATGGAGTAAGCGTAGGCAAACGCAATGTTCCCAAGAGACTGAAACGTTCTCCAGACTTTATCTGTTGGTGTCACTGTCCCAATGCTGACTCCAGTCAGAGTGCCTTTAATTTCTTTGTTCTCAACCACTCTGGAGATGCCAAGGCCAAGCCCAATGGTGGAGTAACCAAAAGACATGACTGCGGCGAGAATTGAAAGCCACCATAACTGATCAAAATCCGGAATCTGAGAGAATATGATTTGTGCTACACCGAACCCGATCATATAAGGATTGCCATTGACATGACATGGATCCTTGTCCCCATTGATTTGTTGGCAACTTGTCCGTTGGATTGCTCTGTTTTTTGTTTTTTTTTGTTTTTACAATTATTAAAGCACATAATTAGCACAAATCAAACAAACAATAATTAAACAAGAAATCAAGTAGGAGAATCTGAAACAGTGACAGCGTTTTAGAGCCCTACTTTCAGAATCTTGGACAAAAAGCTGTTGCAGATTCTTTAATAGACTGATATTATTAATTAGGCTACATTATATTGACTTTGAAAGTGCATTATTGAGCCAAATATTCAGTGACTTGTATGGACTATATTGAACAGCAAAGCGGGACACGCATCTACTTTTTGGAAGAATTTGCACAATAAAAAACAAAAGAGCTGAATAAACTTAGTTTTTCAACTTACATCATGCTTATAGCTGATGCAATAGTGTACCCAATTGCAGTACCAAAGAGGTTAACATATTGCACAACTCCACAAATTTTCACCTTAATGCCACCTGATAATTTTCCAAAGGAATCTAGATCAGTATATCATATATTTTTTTTCACACAAACTGGAACTTTTACTTTTGTATTAGATCATTCTCTGAAAACTCTATTCAGCTCAAATGTTTCCGTTATTAGATAATCTTTTTATTCCACTATTCATATGACTTATATGACATACCAGTCAAACTCTGAGATAGTAAAAAAGAATTTTACCGAGGTTGGAATGGATAGCATCCATGTAAGTGTAGTTTCTCTTGCCGGTGACAGAGTCGCCGGAGCGGTAACAAGAACAGAGGAGAATAGAAGTGTAATAAGTGACGAGAGAGAAAAGCAACATAACTGCTGGACCACCCACCCAACCAATCTGAGCAACTGCCCATGCAAGAGATAACACTCCTGACCCAATTACTGCTGTTATTATATGTGCACTTGCTGTCCACACCGTCCCTGAACCCAATCAAAATCACCAGAAAATTAACCCAACCGATTTTAAAGACACGATCATTGTAACAAAACAGTATGTTGCATTCATTGTAAAATTTCGGTATGATAAATTTTTACATTCAATTAAAACAAAAAAAAACAAGGACGAGTAATAAAAATCATACTTTGTCACTTCAAGCATCTAACGAAAAGGAAACGGCAACGGTTTGAGGTGCAAACGGTTTTACAATTGTATGACTTAAAAGTAGGCTGAATTAAAGCAATTGCCTTCAATAATGTTTACAGAGACTAATTTTGAGATTACTCAAAACAACTTTAACTCGTTTTGACCTACTTATAAGACCTTTTCAATAAAGACAGTAATTGAAAGTTTTCCCAAAAAAAAATTGAACAAGACAAAAATTTACCTGTTCTTTTGGGTCTGCCATCTTCATCGAATAACTCAGAGCTGTTTTGAGGAAGAACACCCATGGAGACACCATTCTTTAATGCCTCGACCATCTTCTTATTGACAAAACCCAATTTCAAGAAAACAAGAAAAAATCCGAGTGAAAAATTATTGAAGGTTTTGGGTGTTTCTCTTAAAGATCTCGAAATTGAATGGAAAAGAATCAAATAGATAATGGAATGGAATCAAAGAGAAATGGATTTGTCCATATAAAATCAATGGTCAGCAGAGAAAGAGAAAGATGTTTTCCGGTTTTCTCTGGACCCAAGATTCTGTAATTGGAAGAGAGTGAGACATTGAAATTGAAAAGAGAGTTGTCTGGTTTTATAATAAGATGATAATAACTCACAAAGTTTCCTGGTATTCATTAAATATGTATAAGCCCATGAAGAAGGAGACATCTAATCTGGATGAAGAAGGAGAAAAAACCGCATGTGCTTTTTATTTTGTTTTTTTAATTCTTTTTAACTTTATTAGTTCCCGACCAGAATACTATCAATATTTATATAATATCTTTCCATTTTACATCTGACTAATATAGAAGATTTTATCTGGTTTGAACAACATATATTAGACAACTATTATCTAATCTTTCAATATAAAATTATGATGAGTTAAATGGGTGTATACCCATACATGATTCAGTAATTGAGAAAATGGGAAGCGATATCCCTACACCTACAAGAGAAAATTTCTGCAGATAATTTTTATTGTATTTTTGATTTCTCGACCAAAAATAAAAATATATAATTGATATTTTCTAAGCAAATTTATCGCCGCCTAGCGTTTTAATTTTGTTAGTCCATTAAACAAAATAATATCTTACGATTATCTGTTAACTATTTCTGTTAACATAAAAAAAGGTATACATCCATAGAACATTATTTTCTATATTAATGGAGATATTAATGTTGTATGAATAACCAGAAGTGTTATTTTCTAAACACAGATAAAACGAGAGTTTTTTTTTTGGAGGGTGGATATGGGATCTATAAAAAATAATTGGGTAATATACCTCTCGAATCTGTTATTTCGTAGGTGTGAATAATATTTGTATTCTTGAAAAATTAACTAATACTTTTCTGTTGTTGTTATTAGATAACTCAAATATCGATGCAACTTTTAATGTTAGCTGTCAACTCCATAAGCAGATGGGTGAGGCTCCAATATTTGTAGCAACCTGAATTGCGTTACCTGATTAAGAATGAAAACAGATGTCTGTTTTGTTTTATAAAGTGTATGTAATGAGGTGTGAAAATATTTTGTATTGAAGATAACTTGAATTGGTATCCTGATGTTAGCAGGTAACTTGGATAACGAGCTAACTGCAAATGTTATTGTGAACTAAAACAACAAATAGGTGAGTATCTAAAAAAATATATTTATAAAGTGTATGTAATGAGGTATGAAAATGTTTTGTATTGAAGATAAGCTAAACTGTTTTTCCGATGTTAGCAGATAACTTGGATAACGAGCTAACTGCAAATGTTAACTGTGAACTAAAACAACAGATGGATGAGTATCTAAAATTAAATTACAACATTTGTATATAATGTTACTAGCGAACTCTAGCGAACTCTGTTAACGAAATGTTGAAGGTAACAATGATTGTTTTGTATCTTAAATGAGAGAGATTAACTCAGATAACAGATAACAGCGAGTTTTTAAGCAACACTAAATCTAATTTACTCCCGATCATAATTTACAAAAGAAGAAAGAAGTTTACACTTTAGATATTGCTGTCGTAAATCTGACACACACAAGTTTCTGTGGGTCTCAAACTTATAGTTAAGCATAAAATTGGTGTAGGGGTTTATTGGTCTTTTAGTGATGAACAGAGGTGAATGCACAGTATAAAATTTGTGTCAGTTAATTTCATAAGTTTTTGTTGGCATTCTATGCAATTACTGAATTATGATTGATAACAATCATTCTTTAAAACTAAATATCACAAACTAACTCTTATGAAACTTAGTACTCATTTTGTATCACCATAATCACTAATGAAAATCTTCACTTAGTTTTCCACATAAAACTTTTGATATAGAAATATTTAGGTATTTGGTCAGTTTGATTCTAAATTTTATTTGTATTCATAAGTTTTAGTTAATTAAATTTATATGCAAAAACTTGATATTAATTTAAATAATTTATTGTTTTGAATTTTTTTTTTGTAAAAGCAATACACCTACTTAAATTAATGAAAAATTTAGACGAATGACGGTTGATATGGTAGCTGATTTACAAATTGGGGACGTTCTAGTTGATATGGCAGATAACTCAGATTGCCACGTTTGTACTGTTAACGTCAGCACTATTAACGATTTCACGGGGAAATGGCTCGGAAGCCACTTTCTAGTAAAATTTATTCAGCTGTGCCACTTAGTAATCTACATGCCACTCAAATTGAGAAAATACTGTTGTAACCTTAATGAGAGGGACCCACGTTTTTGAGGAAAATTAAATTTTGTTAAAATTCGAATTTCTTTGACCCAATACCACGGTTTTATTTGTCGGGCCTGAAAATAATTTCGCCGGAGCCCGAGAGAGTTTTGCCGGAAAAAAAATTTGGATCCTCTTCGTTTCCTCGTTTCCGGGCTTCGTTCTTCCGGCCAGACGCTGCATTTGGAATCGCGAAACTGTCCGGCCTTGCAGCTCGTCGGCCCCAGCGGCAGTGCTCCCCTGTCTCTTCCCCAATTAGCTCCTCTTCTTTCTCGGATTAGGTATGCCGCTCGTTTTCATTAGCAACATTGCATATTGTGGTATGAACATTGGGTCAATTGGATAGATTGATTGATTCGGGGTCCCCTTGAGATAGCTTAGATGTCGTCATGAGTAAGGGGTAATGGGGAGAACCAACCGGAGCGAGATGCAGATTTAGGATAACTGGTACTTTTAAGTACAACTAAGAAGTAGAGAACAACTGGTACACAATGGTACAAATGTTAGGTAGCTAGAAAACAACTGATACACAATGGTACAACTATTACAAAACGGGTATTAATTAAAAGCGTATTTTGGTTTCGTAAATACAGGACGGGCGGGGCAGAATGAGTCCGTCCGTGAACATACACTTTGATTATGGAGGGATGTATTCACAAGTCGGAGAGTTGTTTAAATGGATTGGAAGAAGTTCCACCTTTGCAATATCTTTGAAATACTGTGTTTTGGAGGACATAACTTACTCCGTTTTAGTAGAGAAGATATGCAGGAAGATGGCGATAGATGAAAGAACAGCGCAATTGAAATTGAGCTACATTCCATTGGTATTTAACCCTCAGAGCCAGTGGAATATTAATGATGATGAGGATGTTTATGTGTATTTAACAACAGTGGATGAAAAGGGATTCAGATCAGTTTTGCACGTGGAAGTATTGAAAGATGTGGAAGTAACCCAATTAGAGCCGCAACTGTCTAGAGTTGATCAAGGTAGCTCAGTTGGTTTGAACAATGGGGAGCTTGGTTCAAATGTCATTGCTGAAGCGGGAATCCTAACTATGTATAGAGCAGAGGGAGCAGCAAAGCACCACACTGAGCCAATTATTGAAGAGCCGATGGAGGATGATGGTGATGAAGCTATGAATGATAACGCAAGTGGCCAAATGTTGGCATTGAATGAGAACGTATCCGGATGTGATGGTATGGAGGAGCCTGACGGAGGTGATGGTATGGAGGAGCCTGACGGAGGTGATGGTATGGAGGAGCCTGACGGAGGTGATGGTATGGAGGAGCCTCACAATGTTGAGCCACCATGTGTTGCTGAAGAAACTCAGCTAGTTGCTGAATGGGAAGATGGTGTCGGTCTTGTAGTTGGGCAATATTTTAGTTCTAAGGCGACGATGCAACATTTGATTGAGAGAGCTGCACATAAATACTGTTTTTCGTTCAATACTATCAAATCAGATAAAAACAGACTTATGCTGGAATGCCGTCAAAAGAAGCAAGGTTGTAAGTGGTATCTTCGAGCTGCGATTGTTAAGGATTCAAGCCGTTTCAGTGTTAGGGTGTATATGAAGATGCACAGATGTTCCCGTGCTGCTCAGTCTACAAGCAGCGATAAATTAAAAGGTACACCAGAAATGGTAGCATCGGTTCTGCATGATGTCTATCCAGGTCGGCTCGACACCCCAGTTGCTAAAAGTATCATTAATGTTGTGCAAGGGCATATTGGTCTAAATGTGTCGTATTCCACTGCCCTGAGAGGCAAGAAACTCGCATTTAATTATGTGCGTGGGAGTCCAGAAGAAAGCTATAGTATGTTGTATCCTTATTTGCACATGTTGGAGAAGGTAAATCTCGGAACGGTTACAAGTGTGGAATTGACTGCAGATAATCTAGTATTTGCCACAGCTCAAGACCCTAATCGGCACAATTACCCTGTTGCGTTTGGTGTGATTGATGGCGAAAATAATTGTAGCTGGGGGTGGTTTTTCGAGAAGTTAAAAACCGTGGTTCCAGATGATCCTGAATTAGTGTTTATGAGTGATCGACATTCAAGCATCATCAAGGCTGTTTCGGAGGTGTATCCAAGCGCTAATCATGGATATTGTGTTTGGCATATTTCGCAGAACGTGAGAGATAGAGTTAGTAATATCAATAAAGACTTCGTTGCTGCGAAATTCAGGGATTGCGCGCATATTTATACTCAATCTGAGTTCATTAGAGAGTATGGTGATTTTAGGAGTAGGTTTCCCAAAGCTGCTGAGTATCTTGATAAGAGTGTAAGGCTGGAAAAATGGGCTAGGTGCTGCTTTGCAGGAGAGAAGTACAACATAGAGACAAGTAACTCTGGAGAGTCTATGAATAGTTGTTTAGTGACTGCCAGGAAGTACGCGTTATTGCCTATGATCGATGCGATTGTAGGCAAAATTTCTTAATGGTTTAACAGATACAGGAAGGATTCTTCAGGAAGTTTTTACAATAAGAGAGTGGTGCCTGTGGTGGAGAACGAAATACACACTCGATATGCAATCGCGTCTCTCTTAGTGGTGACGGAACTAAACAGCTACGAGCTTGAGTACAGCGTTAATGGACTGGACGGGAAAACTTACGTTGTGAACTTGAGAGCGAAAAGCTGTTGCTGCAGACGGTTTGATATAGACAAGTTCCCGTGTGAACATGCAATAGCCGCAGCGACGAAACTGATGAGCAACGAAGATAGATCAGCGAATATCGGAGTTTATGACTTGTGCTCAAAATATTACTTGATTGAGACGTGGGCATTTGCATACTATCAAACCATTTATCCTGTACCTCATCATACTGAGTGGATTATTCCTGACAAAATCAGAGAGTTAGTCGTTTTACCACCAGATGTCAAGAAAAAAGTGGGTAGAAATCAAGAAAAGCGGAAACCAG